AGTGGTTCTGGATGTCTGGATATTCCATGAATTTCTTAAATTGGCCACAAGATTTTGTTCCTGACAGCTACTCCAGCACCTGTGGAGGCGTGGCCAGCATGGATAACTTCCTCTGGCAGGACCAGCCCTGTGAGGAGAACCTCAACTTCATCTGCCAATCAGGTTTTACTTGCACCATGTTAAGGCTTGTATGCAATTATTGTGCATTACTTTGATTTAACTGTAACTCATGTCCTTTCAGGTTCTGACGATGCTGTGCAGAGAGTTCATTTCTACAGCACCAAGGATCCAACAAGTCCATAGGAACCAAGATGACACAGTATAAACTGTGATACATAGTTTTTGTTAGAAATAGTTATGACTTAAAACCTGTTTTGTACTCCTTTAAAACAATTTTGCCAAAAATTCAGTAAGTGCACAACACACCATGTTTTCTTTTTCATATTGCCAATCCTGATGAAACACTAAGGTGAAGTCATATATAAATAATTTCTTTGTAGATTTTTCCTTTCTGATTCATAGTAACGCTCATAGCATTTGTAGTAATTGTATCTATGCAAAGCAAGTGAGCTTACTCCTTTACATTATATATGGAAATATGTGCCTATAATAACTAGCTCTAAAGTTATGACTGTAGTGATGAAATGTCTTGATAAAGCCAGAACTGAAGTACAAATTCTCTGAATTATGAAATATTCTAATATCAAACAGTTTACGTGTAGAAAAGAGCACACATTTTTAAGCACTTTTTAACACTACACACACATTCCCACATAACAAGCAGGTCTGGCCCGGATCTGGTATCAAGCCGGCACTGCTGGCTGACTTCTGGCATGATAAGACGTATGTCATCCAGATATGGGCCAGGCCTGGCATAGATGGCACTGTCTATGCATGATGGCATGTCATATCTGGCCCAATTATGGTTTGGTTTATGTGGCCCAGCCCCATACAAAGCAGGCCTGGCCGGGATCTCGCATCAAGCTGGCACTTCTGACAGACTGGTGTCATGGCAGAGTGCATGTCAACCAGATGTGGGCCAGGTCTGGCAATGAGGCACTGTTTATGTTCCTATTTTCCTATTTTAGTTAGAA